GTGAAGTTCCTTTGTTGGTTTTCTGCTCTGTGCAACGACTGTCCCTTTTCAGTCAACCTCCCTGATCCTAGAAAAAGCATCTCTTCCTCTTGCTTCCCTCCTTCAAGCCCCCATCTAGGGGCCGTGTCTCTCTCTTGCAGCCCAGCCCGATGTAGATGCAGGACACTTTGCTCAGTATTGTGTGCACAGAGAAGCTTTAGCCTCTGGCTGGCACCTTTCAGCCATCCCAGGATTGCTGCAAACTTGCCATTATTGTCCCCATTGCTGTTGGTGGTGAGTTCTGAGCATCTTGCTCGAGACCTGCTCCCTCCATGCCTGAGGAGGTCCAGGTTAGCCCTTCCTGCCCTCAACTGAGGCAGACCTTGTTGCTGAGCAAATCTGAGCCCTCTCTGTTCATAACAAGCCTGGCTCTTCTGCATTTGGGGCATGCTAATCCTTCCTGCCCTCAAGCACGCTCCAAAAATAGCACCGAGCCCCCGCCGAGTGCAGCCTCAACAGCAACAGGTGCCGTCCTGGAGCCGTCGTGGCCAACCAGGCTGCTCAGAGCCCGCCAGCCCCCCGGCCACTGGCAAACGTGGTGTAATTTCTCGTGCTGTTATCCCGTGGCTCGTTGCCAGGCGCACCTGGGATGCATCAGAAGCTGGGGTGCAGGTGGCAGCACAGGAGGACAAGCAAGGGCTCCCCCTCTTCCACCTGTCCTGCCAAAAATCACACTGTGCCTGGCTTCCCACGGAGCGCAGGATGTCTGCGGCACGAGGGCTCGATTGCCAAGTGGGATTCTCAGGCTGTTTACCAAAACCATCTGGAGTTTGCACAAGGACCAGCGTGAAGTACTCAACGACAGCCACAGGATGGAGAGCTGGAAGTGCCATTTAACTCTGGTTAGCCACAATTCGGGGATCAAAGAGTTAGATTCCATCAATACCATCTTTTTCTCAAAAAAAACGTCATTTCTGATTACACTTTCATAGAGGGGATCTCTGAAACATGGCAAACTTCATTTTGGATTGACGCATTCATTTTGCTTTGGTTTTGATGATAAAAGAAAACTGAAAAATTTAATTTCCTCTTCATTTGCTTTGTCCCTGAATGCACTTGTCTAGATGATGCTGACGATGTTCTCATTTTTCCCCTCCCCCCCCCCTTTGTTGGTTAAAAAAAACCCAAACCACAAAACTTCTCCAACTGTAGGAGAAAGTGGAACAGTCCAGGGGTCAGTGCACTCCGCTTAGCGTTAGAAAGGGGAAGGGGAAGAATGTGGCAATGGAGATGTGACTTATTTGTTTTTTAAAAAGAAACATCTGAAATGATTTTTCAAAGATGACAAATATTCCCTTTAACAAAAACCAGAACCTTCCCAAAAAACTGCCTTTGCAAGCTTGGTGCTCATTGTGCAATTGCTTTCTGGTTCTACAATTTTTGCACGTTTCTTGTAAGAAGCAGCAGCTGATGCTCCTGCCAGGCTTGCGCAGCAGTCAGGCATGTGCAGGGATGCAAATGGGAATGTGCAGTTCCACAAAGCAGGGCACTGCTGTATTCCCTGCCCTGGGAAGGCTGGCACCAGGGGCAAAATACACCTCTGCTGTAGAGCCAGGTCCCCATTACTGTACCCATACAGGGCCACTGAAAAGGCTGCAGAGAGCAGAGCGAGTGGCCAGGATTTGTCTGACCGAATGCAGATGTCTCCAGCTGAGCTACTCCAGAGAGCTTTTGTAATCTTGGTAGAAAAATAGCCCGTCTAGACAGGCAGTTTAACCTAGCATAAGATAGTCATAATTTCCTGATGTTTAGCTGACCTCTGCTTAACCAGGGTATAGACTTAGATGCTGTTTGCTACCCCTGGCATGTCTCCTCTGCCAGTCTTTTATTCTCCTACTTAGCCCCTCTTGCCTATTTAGATCTTGAGCTTTGCAGGACCAGACCCTTTCCCACACGGCTGGTGCGATACTCAGAGCCGTGGAGCTCCCTGCTTCGGTTGCCTGGTTGCTATTGCTGTTGCAAACACAGTTAATAGTCATCTGCACCCCTGGATGCCCATATAGCCTTTCCATTGGCTTGGGTGGGCTTTGAATGAGGATTAACTCTTAAAAATACGGGCTCCCCATGCAGGCTGCAGTCAAGACTAGCAGCAAAATAGTTAACGGTTAACAACAGCATTAGATATTTCTCTACTCTTTCAGCTTCCAGTCACAACAGTCTTTAGAGAAGCAGCATCGATAAACCAGCCTGGTGTTTGTAATGCCGGGATTAATTTTGCTGTTATTTTTTGTGTTTTAATGACCATAATTTCCATTTCTGTAACACCCCTTCTTCCTGTTTTTCGTTTCCTACTGTCACATGACAGCCTGGTCTGTGCAGATTCACATTTTCATTATGGATTTCACTGACAGACAAAAGAAAAGCAGACAAATAACCCAGCCCCCATTACTTTCCTAACTGATGAGTCAAAACCATTCCCCTCAGCATCAGGATTCTGCAATCGAAAGGTGACCCCTTCTATCAATTTCCATGGAGACCAAAACAGAGCATCTGGGATTTAAATGTTCTCCCATAATAATAAAAATTATGGTAAATTACCAGTACAAAGTTACTTAATGCAACATTTACCGGGATTTGTGCCTATAGAATTGAAAGCAAATGTGTTTGGGAGACCCAGAAATCAGCTTCTGCCTCAGGAAGGCAGAGCGGCACCAGCTGGGGCTGGTGGGGCTGTCAGAAGAGGCTCAGGAATAATATCGGTGCCATGGCAGCAGCACCCTTCGGGGTGGTGTCAGGCCAGGGAAACATGACCAGGGAAAGGGACACATCCTCCAGAAGGCATATAAGGCAGGGAAAGTACCTGCTGCTTATGCCCAGCTGTGTGATTTTTAAAAGGATGCTAAGAGATGGAGGACCATTGAATGAGGGGATGTGGCTGCAGCTGGGAAGGACCATGGCTCTTGGGTCGGTGTGGGAACTGAGCCACCCTTGAGGGCATGGTCCCCCCAATCCTCCTCCATCCTCCAGGAAAATCCATGCCCAGAAGCAACAGGGCACTGCAGGAAGGCGTCCTACAAGGGTTGCTGGGGACTGGGAGCCCTGCTTGTGTGGCAGCTAACAAAACAACCCTAAAAGTTGCAGCTGGAGCAAGCAAACATTTCTTTCCTCCCGTTTTGCTGCTGGCTGCACATGAAAAGCCCCTGACTTCTCCGTAGCCTCTGCTATTTGCCAGGTAGCGTGAAAGCTAGCCAGATGTGGAGTTTTTTATTAACCTTTTTACATCTGCAAGTTATGAGGCATCTCATCTGCTGCAAGAGGTGACGGTGCCAGAGCCTTGAATGAACAAACAGATCAGAAAACAAGGAGCAAAGAGTGAATCTGCTGCTCATTGTGGGTGGAAAGGGGCCGTTTGATTCCTGGAAGGATTAAACTGACTCGTAAAATAGCCCCATTCAGACAGCAGCATTTGTGAGCACTGACATCTTAGCTTAACGAGGTTCTTTACCAGCCATTTGAGAAAGCGATTTTACATGCTGCTCTCAAGAGGTTTAAGTTGCCATAATTCATGTTCATACCTCTAACCATGAAAGGATGAAGAAAGGGTTTATTGCAGTTATGTGGTGCAATAATCTCCTCACAGCTCTTTTCTCCGTATTGCTTTAAAGCTTTAGAAACTTTAGAAAGATATTTGGACACATCCTAGGATGTCTGGAGGCAGTGGGGTTGTGTGTGCTCTTGGCAAATAAGGCTCACAATTTATTCAGTCCCAAAATCCAGGGCTGACCCCAGAGCTCAGTAAATCCAGATACAAAGTCTGGGAGATGTAGAAAATCCATCCTGTTAGCTTTCTGGAGGCCTGCAGAGGTTAGACAAGCCTCTTTAGTGTGGATGGGTAGGTACTTGGGCCTGCACGTGGCTGGCACATTAGTGTCTGAGCCATAAGTGGCTTTGGAAATGTCCTTAGAAAGCAGGGATGAGATGCTGAGTTTTTGTGGTTCGCAGCCACACTAAAAAGTGGAGGTATGGCACCATGGAGACCTGCATACAGTTATGCAGCACTTCAAGGCTGTCTCTGTTCCTTGATAAAAGACCTACCAAATTCTCCTGGCAGCTCTGCATGCAGGTCCCACCAGAGGACCGGTCCCCAGGCTGTGTGGACCTGCAGTGTGCATGCTGCCTAAAGCCCCGTGCTCACTGGCAGCCTGAGAACAGGCTGCTGGCAGACGTAGAGCACAACCACTGCCTTGAACATCTTCTGTATTAGGGCACTCCAGGCCCTCCAATGTTTTAAATCGGGATGATTAATTGTCTAATCATGAATTCTGTTGAAAATGTGTCATTTTGATTCTTTCGTTGTTTAGGGACCAAATTCTTCCCCCGACAATTGGTTCTGAAAAGCTGTAATGTTGTCACTGCTACCCTGCCCCACGTCACCAGGGAGAACAGCTGGGGATTGAGAGGAGGAATTAAGGATCCTTCTGCTCTATCACTGATCTGAAGTTTGGGCAAAGAACCAGACCTCAGGACCACACACTGCCACGTAGGAGACTCCCGATTCCTCTGTTGTCATCCTGTGAAACCCTTGGGAGACTCAGCACCCTCTTTCATCTGTCTTTTTTTCTCCTCCTTGGTTTCTTTGACCTGTCCTCTTCCCGCTCTGCCCCACAGCACCTGCAGCACTGGTACCTACACGGACTGCCTTGCTGTTGCTCAGCTCCTTTCTAGCCTTGTCCCACAGCCCCACTCCCACAGTGCCTGGAGGTATTGCAACCCGTTACCCATCAGCATCAGCAAGCTTCGTGGAGAGGCCCTGCAACCTGCTCTGGTGCACTTTGTGTTTTGACTTCCCCTGGCTATTCTGCCGGCATTCAACCTCTCCCCCAGGTAGCCCCAGCACCTCCCCACGAGCTGCCCCGGCATCCGCAGGAGCACAGCGGCTTTCTGCTCCCACCATCCAGGTGCAGTCCCTTCCTCTGGCGCCGCTCGATGAATAGCATAAAAAAGAAGAGTGGGAAGAGGAGGACTTTTCATTCTTTATTTGTAGGAACAATTTGTTCGGTGAGAAGAACAGAGCTCTTACAATCACAATGGTGCTCCAGCCGAGTGCTGCACACAAAGACTCCCCAAGCAAGCGCTCCACGTGCACTGAGCCTGCTGAGCCCCCGTGCTGCTCACGGGGCACGGGGCTCCCTCTGTGTGGAGCTGTGGCTCCAGCTCATGGATATGACTTCCAGGCAGGACAGACCACAGCTCCCTGCCACGGCACGGACCTCTGCTCCCCACTCATCCCCGGTACGGCTGCACAGGCAATACTGGAGCATCACCCACATCCATTGCTCAGCTCAGGCTTCACTGAGATGGAGACTTTGTTGTGTACTGTCCCTAGCAGGCATTCGTTCCCCGCAGGATATGAGTGCTCATTGCCAACGCTGGTCTGCTTTCGGACATATCTCTGTGTCTGCCCCTTTCGTGCGCCCCACATGCTTTGCAATGAGGGAGAGACGAGCTCCACAGCCGCTGGGGAGACAGGGCATTGCCAGAGGTCCCAGCTGCTCGGATGGGTACAGTGGGTACGGATCCCTGACAAACTCTGCATGGCTGAATTAACAAACAACAAACAGGCTCATTCTGTGCCAAACTACAGGGAGGACAGGGAGCGGCAGCGATCAGGGAGCCAGAAAGGTTCTTGGAGGAGGACAGAGGAGCGCAGGTCAAGTGGTAGAGCCTGACCGGGACATAATGAGCAGCAGGAATTTGAAGAGCATCACTAGGAATAATGGAATGAAGTTTTCAGGAGGAAATGCAGGTGGAATACTAACAGCAGCTCCTGACTTGTACTACAGAGCAATCTCCCAAAGGACAGCACAATAACCCTGGTGTCAGGGCATTTAAAAATAGACCCAGCACACCACCAGTAAATGTAATATATGGAACAAGCCTGAAGGGTCATAGGCAGATGGATTTGTAATACATCTCTTCTATCTCCAACTCTTACAACTCTGCAAGGAAGCAATGAGCAATAAGCAGGTCACTGCTTTTGGGCCATGCTGGCAAATTATCAGAGCAAGAGCATCCATTGCACGTACTGCAACCTGCTCTTGCACATGAGAGGATCTGTGAGAAAAAGAACTACAACAATCACATGCGTGTCTCTAACCTGAAAACTAATCCCAAGGGCAGTGTTTCCAGTACATAATAAGTGACTAGAGCCAGCCAGGAATCTTCTGAGGAACAGATTTTGGTTGGGAAATATTTCCATTCAGCAGCCAAACAGGTTTGGACAAAGCCTTGATGGGGCATCTCAGAGGGAAGGGTATGGGAGAAGCCAGGCTCCCCTGGAGCAGCCGGGAGCCCTGCCAAGGGATGCCCAGGTGCCCTGGCTCCCTCCTGAGTGTGGGAGCTGTGGGAAAGCAGCAGGGCATGGGAGAGCCCCCCTCTCCCAAAGAAACGGTTCCCCTCTGCACTGGGACACACAGACTTTCCATAAAATGGGATACCTGACCACGAGCAGGTGCTGCTGGTGTGCCAGTTTTTTTAGCAAAATGGGTAGGAACAGCCAAGGCTGAGCATGAACCGTTACAGCACAGCTACAGCATTGTCTAGAGAGGCTCGCGCCTGCCGGTCTCAGACTGGCTGTGTTAAATGGGTCTGTACACGGATATCTCTTTTGGACAGAGCAGAAAAGGCTGCCAGGTATTAAACCTCTGTGAGCACACTGGTGGGAACTTGCCTGGCTGGGGATATGGCCCCCTGCAAGTGTCCAAAGCCAGGATGTATGCATACTAAGTTTGCTTCATTACAGCTGGGAGCGCTGGGAGGACATGATCTGAGCAAGCAACTTGCACAGAGACGCATACCCTGCACAAGCACAGCTGCACGGAGAAAATCTGGCTGGAGGGGCACTGCAGAGCTTATGCAGCCTACAGCTGTCCTGCTGCCCTTCCCAACAAAGGTTTGCCCAGCCTGTTCTTAATTCTTGAAAGATCAAAATTGCACACTCACCCCAGGGAAAGTATTTCTGGTTTAATTGCAGCCTTTTCCTCCTGCCTGTGTGCATGCCCGGATCTGGCCCGCTCAAGGCATACACCTGCCCCTTTGCCTGCTCCCGTCACACAGACACACAGCACACACTCCTTCTCTCCGACCTCTCTCAGCTGCGGATGTTTGTGGGGAGGGTGCTCTGTTAGCAGCTTTGCATCAAGCAGCAAGAAAATAAATAAATAAATACGATTGCACATGAGGGAAGGGGTTTGCAGCTGGAAGCCCAGGAGAGAAGGTCTGAGACGGGGCTTCTGGCAGAGTTTGGTACCAGCACGTTTTGCCCAGGCCTCCAGTAGCAGCTCCTTGAACAGAGACCTGCAGCTGCCCAGCTGGGCATGACAGTCTGCAGCTGGGACGCCACCTGCAATTAAGAGGTGTACATTTTCCTATGGTTTTGAATCAGTTTTTCCTACTATTTTCTGCCTGAGCCCCTGTCACTCCCTCCGTCTCTGTCTTTTCCTCTCTTAATGAGTTTTTTACAATCCAAGATGCAGGAGCTGAGCATGCAGCCTGCCGGCATGCTCATTTCCACAGCTACAGGAGAGGGACAGATGCTCTATAATGTTTTCGGGCTTGGGTGTTAAACTTGGCTCCCAAGTGTGGCTGGTCACGCTAGCATGTGACTACTTGCAAGTAAAAGGATTGCCAGGTTCAAGCCTTTCTCCTGTCTGAAGTCCAGGCATTGCAGTCGCAGATTTGTTGGCATAAGGAGCAAACGAAGGCCACGTTACGTCTGCACTGTGCAATGTCAGCCCCATCTAGCAACAGCACTGCACTGGGCAGCACAGTCGTGCACTGGGTAGGATTTGCCCTGTGCTAACACTTCTGCTTGTTTGTGGGGGTCTGGGCCCCACATGCAGTACATGTAGGCTTAGAGAAAAAAAGAGGTAGACAGAGAAGACACCAGAAGGAGAAACAAGCACAGAATAAGTCAAAGCAATCTTCCACACTCCTTCTCGCTCAGACTTGGTCAGATTCTGGTTTTGTCTGGAGCCCCAGCCAGGACGTCACAGGCAGCTGTGAGCACGTCCTGCTGGTCTCCTGACCTGACTGTAAGGCAGTGACCTTGCTGTGCCTCTTCCAAACCAGCCACTGGAGATGGCCACATGGTCCTGATACCCCCTTCCCTTTTGAAAGTGCTTTCCAAGGATGCTGTGCCAGGGAAACCCCTCTGCACCTTTTGTGGTGACTTGGACGTTCACCTCCTTCAGTTCACAGGGCTCCTGTAGCTTTTTTCCAGAGCCGGTTTCATATGCAGTGACTCCTGCAAAGTGCTTCTTTTAGTGCCGGTCCTCCATCTGTGTCCTCCGAGGCTAGTAGAGCCTTTCCTGGTCCTCTGGTTATCCTTCATCAGCTTCTCCTTCAGGTGATGCACGATGGGCTATGGGTTGGGATGAAGACATTTGCCACATTGCCAATCACTTCCCACAGGATCCCCAGGCTCAGAGAAGCAAGGCCGTGCTCCACTCAATCTCTTCAGAGCCCTCATGAGCTCAGGATGGTGAGGAAGAGAGGTCAGCCCATTCAGCTCTCAACCATTCCTGGACACCCAGGGATCTCTGTGGAACAGAGAAAGAAAGAAAAAAAGCATCAGTTTAGCATGGTAGAGCTTGAGGTAGAGGAGGGATTCAGATGCTGAAGCCAGAAGAGAGATTACGTTTCCCCAGGACTCGCTGGTCCTGACTGGTGTACACCATGACCATTAGCTTTATCTTAGCCTTCAGGCACCCTCCCCAGCTGCTGTTGAACACCCCCTCGAAGGAGCCAGTGGATGAACGAGCACCACGAGCAGCCCACTCTCTCCATGCCCGGTGGTGCCCTGCCCATACATGCCACCACGTGCCAGTGCTGCACCTCCTCGAGGTGGGTGAGCTTCTGCCCCCACGTTTTTCAGTGATGTTTCTACACTGCCGTTGCACTCCTGAGCTGTGTGAGCGGGATGATCGACCAAGGCATTCGGCAGGGGTTTGCACCCCCAGGACAGCTGGGTGCTTTAGTACCCAAGTGAAGATTTTCCCGCAGTAGCTACCAAAAAGCAAAGCTTCTTTGCATGAAATAATCGGAATAAACAGATGCATCTCTACATAGACTCTCAGGTCAGCTGCCCAGGAGATGAGAACACATTTCCTTCTGGTTTTAATATCTGTGAATCTACTAAAGGGAAGAAAAGGGCTTTTTCTTGATTGTGGAGATACCCGAATGACAGACATGTTAGATGGAAAAATGGGAAATTAATCTTGAGATAGAGCAAGGAACAAGTACTGGATATGCTTGCGCTTTTATTTATTTGAAAATGGTATTTTAATAAGTACATGTCAAAGATTATGGTCTGGGGGTAGGGGAAGAAAGCAGCATTTTAAACCAGAATGGATCTGCAAAAAGGAAAAAACCATATCTGTTCTTTGGGAACACAATGCCTCTCTCAGAAGAATTTTGGGCATCCAGAATGAAGTTTTATTTCTTGTGCAAATCAAAGCTGAAGTTCCAACACGAGAGAGATGATTTGCAACAGTGTCAGTTGCCAGCATCTCTTTAAAAAGACTACTCACACTCCATCTGCCCTGCAAAGTGTCTTTCTTTCCTTCCTGCCTGCCTGCCTTCCTTCCGAAACACACAGCCCCAGTCTGTACCACACCTTATTGCCAAGAAGGGTTCTGCTTTGCACAAAAGAAGGAAAAGTCTTTCACCTTTTGCGTTTCCTCCTCCTAAAAAAACCCCTGTGCACTGCAATTACTTCTGCTGGTGCAGCCTGTGCAGTGAAGTGTGGGCTGGGGCTGGTAATCATTAAACACCAAGCCCTTCCTTCCTCCGAAACACACAGTCCCAGTCTGCACCACACCTTATTGCCAAGAAGGGTTCTGCTTTGCACAAAAGAAGGAAAAGTCTTTCACCTTTTGCGTTTCCTCCTCCTAAAAAAACCCCTGTGCACTGCAATTACTTCTGCTGGTGCAGCCTGTGCAGTGAAGTGTGGGCTGGGGCTGGTAATCATTAAACACCAAGCTAAAGAGAAACTGATTTGCTAAATCAGCTGGATTTAGATGATTTGGACATGTTAATCGCTACTGTTTAGTTTTGTACATGTGGCACTGTGGGCTATCAGAACCTAAAGGCATCACAACTGTAGCCCAGAAATCTTGCAGATCAGGAGCTCTTTAGAAAATCCCCGAGATTGCCCATGTGGAATAACAGCAGCTCCACAACTCCAGCAATTTCCACAGGCAACAGCCCCACAGTCGTGCAGCGTGGGACCGAGGACTGGCAGTTTAACCAGGGAGGAAAGCTATACCCAAATACGAAGTAACGACGATGGAATCAGTGACTTTCTGCAATGCAGTATGCTAAGCATGCTGGAGTTTTTCCAAAACAAAACTGGAATATCTGAGTGAGGCTTCTCTGCCCTTTTTCATCAGATTGAAGCCAAAGGGCTCTTCTTCAGCTATCCTATAGATGGAGCTTGTAAGCTTACAAGGAAACTTGAACCATGTTGTAAGCTCCCAGGGCAAAGCCACTGTTGTAGAGTTCAAATGGGAAGGAGGAGGGAATTCTCTATACAAATTGCACGTCTGCATTCAGGAAAGAGAGCCATGAAGCAGAGCAAGGTTATGTTTCTGACTCTGCATCCCTCAGCCACTGTGATTTAAGTGTCTCCTTTCCTAATCGGAAAGAACTTTCTCTTTGCAGTGGTGCTACTAACCACCCTCATCCCGCACAGGCCACTCCCTGAGGTCCTGACTTTGTTCTTCCTAGGAACCCAAAAGAAGTCAATGTTTCTTGATATCTGGATGTTTTATGACGTGATTATTATAATAGTGACTTTCTGGTATTCCAAATCCAAGCCACGCACATGAGTTTTGATAGGAGACAGAAGTCCAATGTCCTCTTCCTGCTATCCCATTGGATGAGCTTCACATTCAAGCTCCAGTTTCTATGGCAATAATCACAGTTTTGTTTCACGACTGGTAAACTCTGCCGCTCCCCGCCAGCGAATGCATCGGCTGAGTTATTCACCACTAGTGAGAACAAAACAGGTAGGAAAACTGGGGCCATGCTCCTTTAGCTCTCATTTCATCTCCACGGGGCCACCTTCCAGCCGAGTGTGAGGACAAGGAGGTGAGTTTGAGCGAGGTACCTCCGAGCTGCTGCAGGTCACAGGTTCAGCCTGAGCTGCCGAAACCCGTGTCTGGAGCTCAGAGCAGCCATCCGTCCCCATGGCTGTACAGCATGGATGTGGGAACCATTTTGTGCACCCAGCTAGGGTTCCTGGGGGCCGGGAGCACGGAGAACGGTTTTATTTCTCCTGTCTATCAATAATAGCTGTGGCTGGACCCTGGGATAAGAAGCGGAAAGGAAGAACTGCAGTTCTTTGCTGGTTTCTGAGGTTCTCCTGCTGCCTCCCACCTCTGCCAGCATAGGGGAGGCTGAGAGATGGGTAAAGCATGGCCTCAGCTTTTTTAAAAAAAGAAAGAATGTGAGGGCTTAGTTCCCTGGGACACCCATGGTCCTGCTCTGCGGCACCTCCAGGCTACCTGGTGGTTCATGTGGACCCCGTTTCGACTTGCTGGCTTTAAAGCAGTTTGCCACACATGGCTGCATTTCCCCATGTGCAAACCAAGCCACTCAGAGCAAACGTGCTATTAAAAAAGAAAGTAACTTATAAACAGTTAAAAGATTGCCCAGATGCCAACAGAAGTGGAGTGTAAATCAGCTTGTCTCCACTGGCTTTAATGGAGCAAGGCTGACGGACTCCGAGGCGACCACTGGGCTCTCTAACTTCCCGAAGAGCAGCCACCAGAAATCCAGGCCCTCCTTGCCAAAGTCTTTTTAAACAGCAAGACTGTTTGGGAAGCCCTACAGCTTCAAGAGGAAATATTCACTTCTCGTCTCCTTCTGCTTAAACCTACAGTCTGCAGGCTGAAGCCACAGCAGAGCAGAGAGAGGGGCCAGCGCCTCTTTTACAGCCAGGCTTTCACTTCTAGCCCTTTAGAGACAAGGTGGGAAAATCTAGAGAAACAAGTGAGTAAGGATTAACACCCTGAATGCTGCCAGCACAGAATGCCTACAACAACTGCTTGTGTCCTCTCGGAGGAGAAAAGTGCAGCCAGCATTCCCACCCCTCCAGACTAGCTCTTAGCACCAGTTGCAAGGGCAGCTCCTCCCCGTGCCCCTCTGCCTTCAGCTAGGACCACCAGTTCCTCCCTGGACACCTGCCTGGTGTCCATCAAGATATGAGGGTACTGCTGCCTTGCTCTCCATCATCATCATCATCACAACATAAGCCAAATGGTCAGATTCATCCCTAGATGACTCTCCTGGAATAGTGACAGGCAATGGGACTAATCACTTTACACAGGAGCATTGATTTATCCTTTCTTTTCATAAATGACCTACTACATGGAGCTCTTTGAGACTCAAACTGTGGTGAAGGTACAACTCATTTCCATCAACTTAATGCCAGCAAAATCCATGGAGTTGCTCTCCATCGTCACCACTGTATCCCAGAGCAAACCCTGGCCTTCTGTTCAGTAACACAGTGCTAGGACATGCTGAGCCCAACTACTTTTGCTCTTGTTCTGATGTAAATCAGCAGTGACATTCTGAAGTCAAGGAAGTCTAACTTTCCTTTACACTGCCATTACAGCGCTGACGTCAGTGGAGCAATTTCAAATTTATGCTAGTGTCATTGAGAAAGGAATTAGACCTAATTGATTTACACCACCGTAAAACCGATGTGCAAGGGGAACTGGGTTTGCAGCATACAGCCCTGTCCAGGCACTGATGGAAGACAGGGCTAGCTACCCAAATAACGGCATAATCTGAAGAATCCTTATTTATGGTCTCCGAATGTGTGCGTGCACGTAGGAAGGAGGTTTGGAAGATGGCAATTAAAATAAACAGCAGATCACTTATCCTAAACATCTGCCTCGTAAAAGCAGAAAATCAGATGTTGTCCTGGAACGTGTGCTATTTGCTGCTCCGAGTAACACAGAGGGAGCACAGCTCGCCTGACCTCTTCCAACATTTCCTCTGCCCTGAGATCTGAATTCCTCAGGGTTCACAAGTCAAAACATAATCAAAACAGAAGTCAGCTGAAGAAACCTTGCAGCCTCTGTTCTTGACCAGTGCCTGTTCACCTGTGGGAAGCTTGGATTTGCTCACCAGACAAACACGATGAGAGGGATGGACCACCCACATCCCACAAAGCAAGAGATGTGTGGCGACAGGCCACATGCATTCATCTTGCTAACTACGTAGCCAGCTGTCTATCACTAATTTACATTCCCTTATTTTGTTTCAGTACAGCCCTAGAAGAGGTGGAAGACTAATGATGAAATCACTTTTGGTCATTAGTCATAATACATCCCAGGCTCAAGGGCAGCCATTCTGCAGGGTGAAGATCTGTTGAGAAAGTAAAAATGACCTTTTCAATCAATGGGAATCGACTATTGCCCACATAGTCACAGTGGGACTTTGAAATGCCCCCTAAGGGACATTTCCCAGGGGGTCAAGGAAAGGATGAAGAGGGAAAAAAATCCCTCCCTGGCCCTAGGCTGTAGATTGT